TTTACATATGGCATAATCAGTCTGCTACCTCTCTCTCTCTCTCTCTCTCTCTCTCTCTCTCTCTCTCTCTCTCTCTCTCTCTCTCTCTCTCTCTCTCTCTCTCTCTAAATGCCCTTAATCCCAACATCTACGGTCTCTCTCTCCTTCTCTCTCTCTCTCTCTCTCTAAATGCCCTTAATCCCAACATCTACGTGTCTCTCTCTCCTTCTCTCTCTCTCTCTCTCCTCTCTCTCTCTCTCTCTCTCTCTCTCTCTCTCTCTCTCTCTCTCTCTCTCTCTCTCTCTCTCTCTCTCTCTCTCTCTCTCTCTCTCTAAATGCCCTTAATCCCAACATCTACGTGTCTCTCTCTCCTTCTCTCTCTCTCTCTCTCTCTCTCTCTCTCTCTCTCTCTCTCTCTCTCTCTCTCTCTCTCTCTCTCTCTCTCTCTCTCTAAATGCCCTTAATCCCAACATCTACGTGTCTCTCTCTCCTTCTCTCTCTCTCTCTCTCTCTCTCTCTCTCTCTCTCTCTCTCTCTCTCTCTCTCTCTCTCTCTCTCTCTCTCTCTCTCTCTCTCTCTCTCTCTCTCTCTCTCTAAATGCCCTTAATCCCAACATCTACGTGTCTCTCTCTCCTTCTCTCTCTCTCTCTCTCTCTCTCTCTCTCTCTCTCTCTAAATGCCCTTAATCCCAACATTTACGTGTCTCTCTCTCCTTCTCTCTCTCTCTTTCTCTCTCTCTCTCTCTCTCTCTCTCTCTCTCTCTCTCTCTCTCTCTCTCTCTCTCTCTCTCTCTCTCTCTCTCTCTCTCTCTCTCTCTCTCTCATTCTATAAATGCCCTTATTCCCTCAACCTCTCCGGATTCCATTCCGAAGCGTCTCCAACCTCCCCTTGCAAAGGCGCCTTGAGTGAGTTCCTGAGTAACGCGGCACATTCGGCTCTTGGTTGGTAGTTCGGCTGCGAATTACTTCCCGTATCCGTAGCCGCCATCTGGAGGTAAAAGATAACACATTTAATACCTTTTCACTACTTTTACGTATTCCTTAATATGAATATATTCCTTTAGCATTCAAACATCTCCCACGTTTAGTGCAAATCAGCGTACGTACTCTTGATAGGAGCGTTGCATTCCTTTGTCACGGTGACGTAGTTGTTGATCTCTGATGTGGTGGTGACGTAATGAGGTACTGATGAGGTAATAGTAGCTGTGACGGTGTAGGTGTTGGTGACGTAGTGATCTTGCGTCTTGGTGACGTATACGGAGGTTGTATCGACCTACGGGGGAAAGATGATCGAATTTAGCTTGTCAAGAATTCAGTTAGTGGTCTCTAAATATTACCACAGATAAGAATCTGTTCATCAATAATCAATGTACAACAGTGCATGGATGTTTTACCTGTGTGTATGTAGAGTGGATGGTCTGCGTGTTGTGTACAGTCTCGGTTAAATATTCGGTCTCATAATTGGTCTTATAGTTGGTCTTGTACTCGGTCTCGGTGATGTAGGAAGGCTGGACAACTGTAGTGGCCACGGTCTGGTACTGCGTCTGGACCTGCGTCTCGTACTCCGTCACGTAGCGGTCAAGCGTCTTGGTGACATAGGTTGGGACGACCTCCGTCTCCGTGACCTTCTGGTAGACGGTGCTGGTGGGGCAGAGCTGCAAGAACAAGACAGCGGGATAGAGAGGCGAAATGAATGCCGGATCAAAAACACCAGATAAAAGCCTGATACCTAACAACATGGATGATATTTCTTTTAATTTCAACACTCACCTTCTGCTGCTCTGGCCCGGATTCGGAAGGGAAGAGGATTGGAGAAATTTCCTGCTGAGTCTGCTGATAGGAAGGAACCTGCTGGGGAGGCTGCCTCGGGACGCCATAGGCGGAGGCCAAGGGAAGCAGCGCGGCGGCCAGGAGGAGGAGTCCGGTCCTGCGGGAAGCAAGGCGGTCAGGCGAGGAATGTGATTTCGAGAGCTGGCGCACAGTGCTTAGATGGATGCATGTAAGCACGTATAGACAGTGTGCTTGTGCGTCTGCATAATACATGTAAATGTAAACATCTACTTATTTGTTAATTTAGTTGTAATGGTCGTAATTTTTCAGATTTCGTATTCTATAACGACTTCAAAATACTAAAACGTTAAGATACATAATGGATATCCGAGAAATGATAAGGATAGATATTTAGTTTGCACAGCTATTATACGAAAAAAAAATGCGAATGGTAGGTATGTTATCTACCTGAGAAATGTTTTAGGCGAACGTTTCTCGTGCCAGATATTTATAAGTATATCGATTTTGCGGAAATTAATGTTAAAGATTACTCCTCAACTGCATCTTTAATTAGAGACATATCTAATAATTAGAGACATATCTAAAATAATTCTGCAAGTCATGGAACAGAACCCTTTCGACTAAGCTGAATGTTGACTTACCTGTACATTTTGGTATAGAGGTGCTGATCAGGTGTATAAACTGAAGACGCTTCAAGTCTAATGCCCAAAAGATTTTCCAGCCTCTTTATA